TAATTCTGCTGTACATGCGACAAACTCTGCACTTACTGATGACATGGCAGTGCTTGCAACCGCGCATGTGTTGATCATGAGTTTCAGGCTTTGACCGTTCTCACTTTCAAGCAGATGGAGCAGCTTCACACTGGAACGCATCTGGACGCCCTCTTGGGGCACTTGGTTCGAGGTGGAGAAGATGTTCGTTCTACGGTCACGTGGAAAGACCTATCATGGTGGAGAGAACAGCAAAGCCGGGGGAGCAGGGGGATCAAACACAGACACAGATTCAACAGCAACCTCGACGTTGAAAGAGCACTTTACAAGACAGCCGGGGGGGAGTGGATACACAGAGCACAGGACAGAGAACTTTGGAGGAGCCTCAGACATACCTTCGTCGAACAGCACGATGTACCATGAACAACAGGACGACAACCACAACTCAACAACCTTTCACCAACAACCCCGACAGCCAGGAGGGGGATGGGAAGGATGCTTGCGAATGACAGCTTCAACTGAGACGGCGGACCTCCTGCCCCTCCCCCTTTGTGAACTTTGCCATGCCCTTCAATAACCTTTCGATCTATATGTACTACATCGTCTGTCATGGGGGAGAGAACTGTCCGAGAGAACAGAGAGCTTGAGCCTTTCGTGACGCCTTTTGCAGCAAGACATACATGTGGGAACGCAGTGCCCGTTGAAGCCCGTGGCCGCCCGCGCAGCTGATGATGCTCATCCTAGGGCGACCTCTGAAGCCATGCCTCCACAGCAAAAAGATGAGCCCCGACGAACGCCGGGGAAGCAGACAACCGAAAGAGGGGGAAGCTCAGCTGGAGGAAAGCCAGAAAATCCAGCCGCGGCCGTGAAGATGCGAACTCAGCCAGATGCGGAGGGGGAGGACGACGAGGGGGAGGAGAGCAGCTCTGAGTCGACGTCGCCTTCTTCCTCGAATCCTATTCGGGGAACAGGATCCCAAAGACGTGCAGTTCGGAAGTTACTCCGTCATCTCTACGAAAAGCAGTGGGGGAGCGATGACATGATGTGGAACTACACGAAAAAACGACTCTGCAGCAGGGGGCATGCAGAGCCTACAGATAGGCTGCAGACCTTGGATCCCTCCAAGAGGGAACACCTAGCCGATTCTCTCTTTAGCCAAGCCTACAGTACGTTGATGACAATAGGAACCTTTTCCGTGAAAGAGCACGTCCAGTCGACCTTGGACACCCTCATCGACGACCCCTTGAAGGCCAATGAACTTTGGCGAGCCTGCAAAATACGTTGGCCTGCCGGGGGAACCACCACCGAGCCCAAGCCCCAGCACAAGCCAACAGGGGGAGCCAAAGTCAAAGCCGAGAAGATCGTTGAGGAACACGCCGCCAAACATAAAGGAGGAAGTGGACTGGGACAGCCGAGACGACGAGGTGGTGATCACGCCGCCATTTCTGGGAGATGACGCCGACAGCGACAAGCCATGGCGCGACCTCGACAACCACGCGGGGGAACAGGCTCCCACGATTCCAGATCTTCTACTGGACACAGATGTGGGGGAAGTCACCGCCCATGAGGTCGAAGAGAGCATGGGACAATGGCCCTCACAAGCTGCGCTGGCCGCCATCTTCAGGGACACCACGACAGCTGAGCTACGCCGCGAATGGGGACTGGAAGATGACCCTACTATACCACGACAGGCACCATCTCCGCCTCCGGAGGAGAGAGACAGCCAACTCGGGGACCAGAAGGGGGACAATACCGTTGTTCCCTCTCTGGACCAGGATGAGCTTGTACGTCAGGTTATGAGTGACCTCAAAGACCTTGGGGGAGATCCTCGACACAAGGGGGATGACCTGGAGGAGGTCGAAGTGGAAACCAGGCCGCAAGCCTCCCGAACTGGCCTCTCTGCTCAAGTCGCCGGGGCGCAGCTTGGTCTGAAAATCAAGAGGAAAGCAGATGAAGAACGTAGACGAACCCTTAAAGTCGGAGACCTTGTCGTGAAGCTTCCTCCGCCTCGTGAAGGGGGAACAGCACGGGGATCTTTGATGGCTAAAGTTCAGCGCCTGTCAAGTACTATGTCATCAAGCTCCTCGGGGGGAACGCCCGCTGAGACATTGCGAGCCAAGCTGAAGCGAATGGCAGCGGTGCTCGACGAGGGGGAGCACACAACACAGAAAGTTCAGAAAGGAAATCGTGGCACGCGGGGGGGAGCTCGCAGAACGCCCGCCACTTCGACGTCGTCGACACCTAAGTGCCATCTGAGCAGACTCCGTGAGTAGTGCGGCCCGCCAGGAAGATCCTTGCTAAATGTCCCGTTCAGCCTGGAGGATGTCATGTGTACTGCCTTTTTCGGTACTTGCGTTGTTTCTGGTCCAGGGAGTACGGGCAGACGTCCTTAATTGATTTCAGGGGGATGCCTCAAATATTGGGGGAACCCACTGTGCAGTAATGTTCTCCACAATCCGGGGAGACGACCACTGAATTTCAGGTTGCTGAGTTCACCTTCTGTCACAGGTTGTATTACACTTGTTTGATGGGGATTATGTCTGGACATCCTGAAACTCTTCCTTTTCTGAGCGTGGGAGGCTAATATAGCCGACCCTAAAGGACCGAGGACTCAGCTGCGCGCATTGCGTGGGGGAGGGTCCCCAAGGGGGCTCTCTCTCGAAGCTGTTCGCAAGCAAGCAAGCAAGCAAGCAAGAGAGACAGACACAGAGACAGACAGAGAGACAGACAGAGAGACAGACAGAGACAGACAGACAGACAGAGAGCGAGAGAGAGAGAGAGAGAGAGAGAGAGAGCGAGATAGATGTATAGATAGTAGA